ACTTCCGATACCCACTTCAGGTACCATAGTACGTTACAGACAACATGACTCTTTCCTTACAACAGGAGATGGAACGCATCTACGACGACAGGATGATGGATATGATACCTGAACGACTCAAGGCACTGCTGCAAGACGAAACACTGCCTCTCTGTAGTTGCTGTGGCGTCCACGAATCCAATCCGTCTTTTCAGTGTCAGAACTGCCGTTTGGAGTGTTACTGCTCCGAGTCTTGTCGTGGATCCCATTCCAAAAATCACTACTCCATCTGCCATCACCACTGTCAAATGAGACAGAATCCTGAAATGCCCCGATCCACACCGCGCATTTCCTTGGCACGGGGAGACGATGTGCGAATTTTGGCGGGTGTCGCCAATCGCATTCGATGGGCGGATTATTTGGTGCAGCTGGGAACACGTCTTCAAGCTACATGTAGTAAGACAAGCCATTTTTACTTGCGACAAGCGCTCAAAACCTACTTGCACTGTCTCGTGTGGGGCGCCCGACGCATTCATCACGGACTTGCGGCCGAACCGAGAGCCCTCTGTCTCATGGCGCTATTGGGCGGGGATGCCCAGTTGCTCTTGGATTGGTATTCGTATACTTCCAGTTGGGATTCTCCCGAGAATCCACAAGACGAAAACGATGTTTCGCCCGCTCCATCCGATCAGAGTCGACAAAAAGCTCAGTATCCGCTCTTGGCACTTCATGGTCTTTTTGAACAAGACACGGAAGACGCGGACGATTGCGTCTTTTCAAACATGTACTTGTTGGTGTGCATCCGTTCGTTGGCGAGGCATCGCAAGCTCGTCACAGGGTTTGCAACCTACAAGGACGTGTGTACGACAGTACCTGAGGTCGTCCAAGACCACATTGCTTCGTTTTTGTGGAGCCGCAGCGACCAGGAGTACGCCGCCGCATTGGCCGAGGATGAAATTGTTCGTGTGATTCAGCATATACAAGAGCACAAACGCGATGGGAGATTGTTCTTGCGTCAACTGCAGAGCCACGTTCCGTTGACACCCGAAGAGGCGCCCCAGTTGTTGGCGGGGAAACGGGGCGAGCGGAATTTGGACGGCATACCCGACGCTTCAGCGCTTCCCGAGTTGTGGACGTCGTATCAAGCATGTTTTGGCCATACCGAACTGGCCGAATTCTTTTTGCCCCAACATGATAAGGAAAAGAAGGATTAGGCGGCTGTCTCGAGCCAGGGAGAATGTACGTTGTTGGCAAGTACATGTAGCATACAAGCAATCGGCTGCATCTGGCTAGCACACTGAATGATGCTGGCTGCATTCCTTCCCCTACCGCTAGCTAGTAGAGGCACCAGTACAAGGGGTCAGGTTGCAAGCTAGTCCATGTCAACCTTAGAGTCTCAAAACGAGCTGGCAACCATGAGGAATAGATAACCTTTTGCAAGGATGGAACTTGCCACCTAGCATTACTCAGGAAGTTGTGACACCAACGTGAAACCGATCGCGCTATGCTTGAGGTGGTGGCTTCAAATCTGAATCCGTACTGAGGGACATAATCGACCTACTCTAAACCCCCGTTATCGTACTGGGGACAGTAAATTTCCAGCATTCAAATTTCCAGCATTCCCCTGGGATAATGGTAGGTTGTCTCGAATCCACGCCTTGACATGGTCATGTTTTGTCCTCAGCAGCTCTGCCTCCTCCCAGGGGCAACCATTCTGGATAGCGTACTTGAGGATGTCTAAATAGCCAAACCAAGCAGCACAGCTGGATGTACGTTTGTCCCATGGACAGCCATGCTCATGGGCCCACTTGAGGAAAGCAAAGTGACCATACTCAGCAGCAGCAGAACATGTTCTTTCCACCCATGGACAGCCGTTTGCATGTAAAAATTTGAGACAGTGCAACTGGCCGCCTTCACCAGCGTAGCTGCATGCGTCTTCGTCCCAGGGACACCCATTTTCATGGGCATAAGTTAGGATATCCAAATGGCCTTCCCACGCAGCGTGGCTGCATGTGTCTTCGTCCCATGGACAGCCGTTTTCATGGGCATACTTTATGACTTCCAAAAATCCATTTTCGGCAGCATTACTGCAAGTCTCGTCACTCCATTCACATCCATTTTCATGGGCATATTTGAGGATATCCACACGGCCACTAAAACCAGCAGCAGCACTTGTCGTGTGATTCCAGGGGCAGCCATTTTCATGTGCATAAGTAATACATTCCATATGTCCGTATCTGGCAGCTTCTGCACATGTTTGGGTATCCCAGGGACAGCCATTCTCATGGGCGTATGTGAGGCATTCCAAATGCCCATATCTGGCAGCTTCTGTGCATGTTCCTTCTGTCCACGGACAACCGTTTTCATGAGCGTACATGAGGGTTGCCAAATGACCCTTTTCCGCAGCACTGCGGCATGTGTCTTCTGTCCACAGACAGCCATTTTCGTGGGCGTACGTGAGGAGATCCAAATGGCCATTCTTGGCGGCTTCTAGACATGTCTGATCCGTCCAAGGGCAGCCATTTTCATGAGCATATATCAGCACTGCCAAGTGACCATGTGATGCGGCGTTCTTGCATGTTTGGTCATCCCATTGGAATCCCTTTTTATTTCGGGCCCATTTAAGAACGGTAAGATTGCCCATTTTGGCAGCCTGAGCACAGACGGCATGGCCAGGGATTTCTCCAGCGGTGTCAGCATTTTGGTGGGAGAACCAATATTCTGCACGTGACACAGTGTAGAATGTTGCCCTGTAGAGAGTCTCTGTCCAGAGTCCGCGAGCAGTGTACTTCTTAGGACGATTTTCCACAGTTTCACAGGACATTTTGTATAGACGTTTCATGTTGTGGCTGACGGGTGCCAAATAGGCATATTCTCCCAAGCCAAGGAAGGGTAAAATCCCTTTGATCCAAATATCCTCATTCTTCAAAAAGGAGTCTTCTGGGGCATGCCTAAGATTGGTATATGCCTGTTGGACAATTGCATCCAAAAGTGTATTCACCTGTTTCTGTATACCCAGGACCTTCTTGAGCACCTGAGCTGCTTCTGCTTTGCTGCTGCTCTTTTGTGCCTGGAGGTGCCGCAAGGCATGGGAAAGCGCCTCCGTGGCATCTCTATTGAACACCCCAAGAAGGTCATTATCATCTGTTTGTAGATGTAAGGGTCTTTTGGCTCGCTTGGGTTGCCCGGATAGGTCTGCCGAGCTGCAGTCTATAGCTCTTTTGACATTGTCTTCCTCCATCTTTTGGTTTTACGTACTGTATCGTATGGCAGAGTGTTGTCTACGCGATCAAACAACGGTCGAATCGTCGTTGCTTCTGCGGCTTCTCGATCGTTGCCTCGGAAAGTTTTGTGCCCGTGTAATGAAGCGGTTGCGATGGGGTTTTAGTACCAGAACGGACTGTGCATTTTGTGTGGGGATGGGATGCCAGAGGTTGGCCATGCATGCATCCACGGTAACATCATGAGCCTGGCTAGCTGAACGAGGATTTACATGAGATTTAGGGGGGGTCAGGCACCAGCGCGGGGGAGGGAAAAAGAAAAGAAAAGGGAGAGGGTTAAAGTTGCCGTCGCGAGCCTGCAGGGCAAAGATCGAGTCATTGTGAGAGCATGTAAATATCGTTGAGAGAGGGGAAACGGCAATGACTCCAACACTCCCATAACTCTTCTCCCCTAAGACATCCGAAGAACAAGAAGAACAAGAAAATACGTCAGGAAATACGGTTGAATCACAGAATTCAAATCTCATCAACGGATACCTTTTCCCAATCCTTCGCTCGCACCACACCTTCCCATAATTCAAAAATCGTGGAGTAACCGAATGACGTAAACCAACAACAACACCACCGGACGACGTAAACCAACAACAACACCACCGATCGCAACAACAACACCACCACCGATCGTAACCATGAGGATCTCTACTAGTCAAGGCTTCTCCAAGTGGCTGCTGAGTGTCAAGGCATACCCATTCGATGAGTTGAGGGTCACAAGGAATGGATTCACTTGCAAGTACATCATTGTGGAAGAGAAGGAGCCCCACCACCAGAAGTTTTATTGTTTGCGCGCGAATGAAATAGCAGTGGCGAACCTTGAGGAGTTGATATACCAAGGAGGATGCAAGCCTCTTCCTCCTGACATGACAGGCATCATGGATTACATGTTTGAATGTGGACTTCAGAAGAGCCCAAAATGGCACAGTACCGTTCTTGCTACCCTTTATGAAATGTTGGAGGGGCCATATGCCTGTGAAAGGAAGGACATCTTCATTGAGTGCATCTATTGGTTAGTGAGGGAAAGGATCAGTGAGAGCTATGAGTTGTTGTCGAATGAAGGACAGATGGTGATGGATGCTTGGCATGGATATTGTTTGCACTGGTATGACTACAACAACCAAATCTCCTTCAAGATATTGACTTTGATGAGTGAGACTTTTGTTGATGATTGCATGGAAGACATGCTGAACCTTGGATTCTTGCAACCACACCGTGCTGTCCATTGTGGAACCTTACTGTAAGTTAATGGCTACATTAGAAATGAGTTTGATGTATCTAAATATTTATTGCTGTTATGCCAGGTATCCAGTCAATCGAGTTCGACAGGTGGCATCATGAGGTGGTCTTCCTCTCCTATGCGTCAACCAGTGGCAGTATCTGTGACAGCAGCCATTTGGTGGTGGTGGCTGGAAAGGAGATGGCTGTATAGGTAGGAATTGCCGCATTTGCATGGCGAGTTGCATCATTTGAATCTGTTGTTGTTGCTGGTATAGAATCAAATTACCAACATAAGCATTTGTTGTTTGTGCCACAGCTGCTTGGGTTGGTGGTGGAGGTGGGGGTGGTGGCTCGGTTGCTGGTGGACTCAGTGGTGGCTCGATTGCTGGTGGACTCGGTGGTGGCTCGATTGCTGGTGGACGTGGTATTCCAGTGCAAGCTGCACAAAGACAACAATCATTGGGTGCATACTTCTGCCGCTGTGGTTTGAATGCAACAATGAACTCTGAAAAGAACCTCTCTCCATTATCCTGTGGCAATGGCTCTGCATTAGGAAATGGTGCATCCACACCAGCAGCCTCTGCTAGCTCATTGAGGTAAGCCAACTCTGAGTGGTTCCAGTATGGAACAACCTTTTCCCATCCTGCTGGAATTGACCTCCTTTCTGCCAAACTGATTCTTGACAGGAAGGCTCTCTTGTGTCTAATCTTGAGGTTGTATCTTGCAGTTCCAGCTAGGTTGAGTGCATCAGCAAGAGACCTCCTCATACCACCATTACCAAAATGAGCAAACTTGTCGTGGAATGCTTCTAACTTGGATTCTCCTCTCTTTGACAGATACTCTGGGAGGCTGTGCTTGGAATTGGGTGATGGTAGGATGGTGTCATACATGTCTTCCAAAGGCAGTGGATCAGCCAAGTGAATGGCTTTGTCAACACAGTTCTCTACTGCTGGTTTGGTATCAGAAGTGAACAAGGTAAAGTTCTTGACTGGATCCAGTCGACCCTGTCCCGGCTGGCTACCATCACTGGCAGTCACCTTGTATCTGCAGAACCACTGCTGCAACTTCTGTCTCATGGTCTCTGGTTCTCTCATCTTCTTCCTTAGATATTTGGAGTACCTAGCTCTGAAGACACCTACAAACTTCGCACTGTTCCAGCAGATGCTAACAGTGCCAAGTACACCTTCAAGGTCCAAATCATCAATGGATCTGAGACTCCACGCCAGACCATCAAGTGGGCTGGACGTATGGAGAAGGTCTTCGTCGGGCTCGCCATTGCTACGCCTGGCGACAAACATAACCTCCTCAAGGAGATGACTTCTAGCTCTGCCAAGAGCAGTTACGAATCTAGCTGTGCAGGCCATCGTGAAATACGTTGGAATGCTTTGCGCCAGATTGCAGTCAACGGGATTGCTCCACGCGATGTACGTGGCCGGCGAAGACGAAGCCACTTTCCAAGCACGTTTCCAGGCTGCCTGGAACGGAGCAGCCAGACCTGCTTTGGACGATGCTGACATTACGTTTGCAAAATGCCTGTATCGAAGCGGTCTGTCCCTAAAAGGCTCTTGAAAAGCAGAAACGCTTCATGCGCCGCAAGATGCGTAAGCCTGCTGATATGTCTACTCGTGGCTTATGTCAACAAACCTCAGTCGGATGAACACCGATGAACTTCCTCGTCTACCACCTTTTGGACCAACCAAACGTTGAACCATGACGAAGTCATTGACATTGTGTTGTCATGGAATTCCACGCTCGTCGGATGAAGAAGATGGACGACACACGACTTCGATCCTTTCTCAGCTCCTATCGGGAAACCATTGGATTCTGCGAACGCATGGAATCCTCCAGAAGACTTTGACTAAGGGCGGGATATCCAAGCAAGCTCACTTCGAAGAGAGAACAACAGCAAGAAGTACAAGTACTACTCCGCAAACAACGACCACCTTCCAAGAACGAAAGAAAAATGGTGCAACTACCACGAGTCCAGCAGCACTCACAACACTTGCTGACTGCAATGACTCTGAAGAAGCCAAAGCACAAGTCTCAGTCCTCGTCTCCTGTCTGACAACGATAACTAAACCACTGCTACAAAAGAACAAGACTTGAAACGCGAAGTCCGACGACAGCCAAGACAAACACCAAGAAGGAACTACCTGTCCTCATGAAAGAAAGTTTCCAACGCAGCGCGGTCAAGCGCAGGATCGCACAAGAAGAAAAGCGAATGCAACCCATGTTGACAATCGCAAATACAGACTGACTCCGACAATAGGACGAACTCCTCCTGTTGCACCCATCAACAATGATGGACACAGAAATCGCTGCCGTTGACAAGGCGCTTGCCGAATTCGACTTCAATCATTCGGATGAGATAGATCTCCGTCTGAGGATAAGGCCAGGATAGATTCAACGGAACCATGTTCCGATTCCTCCAATACCTAAGTGATGAAGATATCTCACTAAAATAGTAACCAAGATTTGTTTGCAACTAAGAAGTCACGGCAAATTAAGCAATAATTGCTAGAACTCTCAACTAGAACTCTGACGATCTGTTCAGATCGTTAACTTCGTCCATTGCCAATCAAACCTCAACGTCTCAAGCGACAAGAGCCTCGAAAACTATAGCTATGTTAGATTAACAGACGAGAGAAAAGAGAAGAGAGAGAGAAAACCAAAAACCCGTTACACTCCTGCTGGCCCTACTGGAATAACCAGAAGCCATCCCGGACAATCCCTCCTCTCTTGT